ATACATTCATACAACGCAAACCTACTGCCATGGTAGTTGGTAGCATGGTTATTCCAAAATATTCTGATCCTAAGACAATTTACACCCCAAAAGACATTCAATTTGACATGTTGTCTGAACACGGCGTGAATCTAACCTACATGCAAGCCTGAAGAGCAAAGGAAAAGGCTTTACAGTTTTTGAGAGGCCATCCTGCTGACTCTTACAGTAAATTGCCTAGTTTTTTTGTATATTCTAGAGAAGACTTATCCGGGGTCTGTAGTTAAATTGAAGAAGACAGACGATGACTGTTTCTTATATGTATTTATTGATATTTGTATGTCAATAAGTGGTTGGGAATATTGTAGGACAATTGTAGTAGTTGATGGGATCTTTTTAAAGTCAGCGTACATGGGAATAATGCTAACAACCAGTACAATAGATGCAGCGGGTACTGAAGTTTTTTTAGTAGAAATATTGTAGCTTGTATGTTTTTTTTTAGTACTTGCAGATTAATTGTAATTATATTATAGAATAATTGTAGTTTGTATATATATGTCTTCTTCTGCATTTTTACTGTAGCCAATTAATTGCTTATTGCCATATAATGTAGGTACCATATTACCATTGGTATATGCTGTTGTTGATTCAGAGAATGACGCATCATAGAAATGGTTTTTTGAGCAATTCAAGATCGCGTATGGTGAAAGAGCAAACATGTGTGTTGTTTTGGATGGGAATGAGAGTATCTTGAAGGCAACATCTATTGTTTATCCCGACATGCCACATTATTCATGCATGTGGCATATTTGTACAAATATACGGGCAAAGTTCAAGAAGGGACATCTTAAGCTAAGTGAATTATACTTTGCCACAGCGCGGTCATACACACTTGATGAATTTAATGAAAGGATATCAAAGATTGAGGAGATTGACCCCCCGTGTTAAAGTATAATTATACTATATTGGATATCATAGATGGTCTCGAGTACATGCAATGGTGAACAGAACTTGGACTATAACATCAAACATTGCAGAGTCATTGAATGATGTAACAAAATATGCAAGAGAGCTGCCGATAGTAGAACTATTAGAGTATATGAGGACCCTTCTTGAATGTTGGACGAAAGAAAAATTATTGAAAGCAAATGGTACATTCACATACCTTGGATACAAATTCAACAAAGAGTTAGATGACAACGGAACATTGTCGCACAAGCTTAGAGTAAGATCTGATTATTTATTGAATCAAATTCATAAACAACACAATGTAGTTTTTTTGTATATATTTTGTAGATATTTTGTATATAGCTTGATTTTAACCATATATGAATTATTTTTTTGTTTGTAATGTACTCGTAGGTGAAGGCTTCAACAAACTACATCCATACAGTAATAGATGGTGTGAGGCGCTATATTATTTATCTTGAAAACAAGAAATGTAGTTGTGGGCAATTCCAGCTTGATGAACTACCTTGTCCACATGCTTTGGCTGCTTTAAGACATAGGGATGAGTCCTTTGAAGAATATTGTTCTCCTTATTACACAAGGGCGAACCTCTTGCGTAAGTATGAAATACCAGTAAATCCGCTTCCTGATGAAAACTAATGGAATGTGCCATAATATATGACTGAAGAAATAGTAAATCCATCTAAAGGAGGGAAAAGGCAGCCAAGAAGACCTCAGAAAGAAAGATACAAAACATATGATGAAATAAATTCAAAGAAGTACAAGGTTTCATGCGGCAACTGCGGAGGAGAACGGCATAACAAAAGATCTTGAAAGAATGCACCCAAATGAAATAAAATTCTATGTAGTTAACAAAATATTTGATGAAAATTTGTTGGTTAGTTCTGGATAACAAATGTTGATGTGTAATCGTTGTTTTTTTTAAAGATCGTAATGTAGTTAGTTAGGATGTTTCTATAATGAGATAATACCTTCATATATTAATTTGTTTATGAATGTTATATATATATAATTTATAACTTTTTTACTATATATGGAATCCTTTACATAGTTGCTAATGTGTTTTTGCAGTTTATCTACAATAAAACTACTAAAAAAATACATTATCGGGAATTTACAGAGTATATACATTATAAATCTATAGGAAAGTAGTTAAAAACCAAGCCATATTGTAGATGAAGTATTGTTTACATTCAACAAAATAAATATAAAAGAAACAAAACACACTGTTATAATAATCTACAAAATATCTACAAATACTACTACAAAAAAATTACAAATCTCTGTAGCTGACATAATATATAGATTAAAATTCTGGTAGAAAGAAGCTTTATGGTGAAAATAATGTAGATCAGAATAACTGTATACAATTTCAGTTGGAAAGATTTAAATGCTAAAAATAATGAAGATCAAGTACTGTAAAGTTCAACAAGTGAATGTAAACCCAATAGAATGTTTCCATTTGAACTCAATACTGGTTAAGGAAAAAAAAACAAAGACTACTATAATTGTAGCACAAGTCTGCTACAATTAAAACATACTAAAATGTTCAAAAAATTGTCTACCATCTTTCTTATAAACTAGCATCAACTACACAATTGTACTACATGTTCCATTCAAAAGATTACAACTACTTCTTCTTCCTCTGGACTCGTGTTTTCTCATTCAAAGTTGGTGCACCTTTCCTCCTTGCCAATTTGCCTGTCACCTCACTATCACTAATTGCCCCAAGCTCCTGCTTCTTTCTAGCATAGTCCCAAAGTAGCGCTCCATAGCGTCTACGGTGTTGGTCAATATCAGAAAGGTCTTCTAGGGAATTGATAATTCTCCATTACTAACATACTCTGCAAAGGCAGCAACAAATACACCACAATCTCTGCAAAAAGATAACAAAATGTCAATATTTACCAAACCATCAGAAAAAAATGGTTAAATGTATAGAAAGAAAGAAGATTTTTGTTACAGTGATCCTTCTTTTTGCTGTGGTATCTCTCCGACTATCCACTGAATGTTAAGAGGGTCGGTAATAGCTTTCTCAATGTATACTTTTGTATTCTTGAAGTTGATGTCTTTCCGCTTACCATAAAATCCGGTGCATGACAAATACAAAGGGATAATAATAGAAAACTTGTCGACACAAGATTCAACAATAGGGTGATTGTGTGAAGAGACCATGGAATCATACGCATAAAGACACCTTTCTGCAATGTGAAAAACAACCAACACCCAGTGGAATTTTTCTACAATGTTGACGAGCATGATAGCATAATCAACTTCATCCCATGCAACATTTGCGAGTAGTCTGTACCCCAATATATATTCTGCTATAACATCCTGGGGTTTGACTACAGAAAACTTCTTTTCTTTAGGAGAATTTTTGGACTTTTCATAAATCTGATCAATCCTAGTCTTGAAAACACAATCTGTTGTAGTAAATCTGGTGTTGTTCTGGGGGCCATACTTGCCTCTTTTTCTCAAGTAATACATTATAACATTAATGTGCTGCAACAAAAATAGATTGCATTTATACTACATGTTATCTCAAAAAATTCTAAACAAAACTACAAACTATCTACAATATATCTACAATCAGAATGCAAAGCATCTATTCATTCAGAAAATACAAAGTATCTACAATTTATCTACAAAAAAACTACAAATTAAATACATTGAATATTACCGAGTCGTTAATGACTTGTCCTAGGTGTGCAAGGGAAAAGAACCACTCCTTCTTGTCAACTTTTTCAACTCCAAGATCCAACCATGGCTTAATTTGGTTGTCCTTTATAGAATACAGAGCCTTCCTCCTATATAAACCAATAGAAATTAAAATAAAATTGTTGAATGAAGTGGATGTGTAAAAGATGAATACAGGAATATAAGACAAATAATCTCACATTATTTCAGTGCTTAAAACCATAGATACATATGCAATTTATATACAATATTTCTACAAATCAAAAATACCACAGAGTTGTAGATGTTTACCAACTAAAACAGGCGAAATAAGTACTGAAGAAATTAAAAAATTCTTACCTTCACTAGTGAGTGTCTACGAACATTTTGAGGAGTTTTAACACCAGGTTTTTTTTTTTGAATTTTTCTTCTTTTTTGGAGTTTTTGTACTGGGAGTCACCTTAGCTTTCTTTTCAGGTTTACTGATAGGCACATCTTCTACAAAATCATCATCTATAACTATCCCTTTTTGTTTCCTATCCGCTTGTTTAATTGGCCTCGAAGATTCTCCAACATCGAAATCATGTTTTTGTTTAGTTTTAGCTTCAGCCCTGACGAGGAGAAACACTATGCTTCATATCTACAATTGCATGTGCAGATTTTCCTTGCTTTGGGGGTGAATGTAGTGATAATACACCCAAATCGAAAGAAAGTACATCAGATTCTACATCTTTTTTAGGGTTGTGTTTTGAAGCTTTGTTCTTTTTCATTGAGAAATTTTGAAGCTCAAGGGGCATTAAAAGTGTGTATGAACGAAATTGAAGATTTGACTTCAATTTTGACTGGGTTTGTATAAGAAGCTTCAGCAGTGGGTTTGAAGCTTTGTTTTTCTGGTTTTAGCAGAGGTAAAAATGGCTAGAATCGTGTGTGTGTGTGTGTCGTGATACGTGGGTGGGGTCGTGGGTTTAGGAGAGAGAAACGTGGGGGGAGGGGAATGGAGGAATATACGGTACCTTTAATTTAGGAGTGATATAAGGTACAATTAATGTACAGTTAAAACACCTTATGATATAGAATTGGTAATTAGATATACTAAATGTAATTAATTAAATCAAACCTTAAACATTGAGGGTAATATAGTTTCCTTTATGGCATAGGATTGTAAAAATTCCTATAATATTTCAGTTAGTATATTTTGGAAGGCCGTAACAGTGTACTATTAGTGAATAACCACTCTTGATCCTTGGTGCCGTGAATAAAAATGAGAAAAATAGGAAAATATTTTGTTAAGACTCAAGAAAAAAAATAAAAAAAGAGTTTAACTTTTATATACTGACATGTGAAATATTTTTATCCGATCAGGTCATACAAAAAATATGTAAACATCCGTAATAAATGAGAATCTACATAGAAAATAAAATAATCTGCTGCAACAGATTAAAATACACAAATAATGTACAGTCAAACCTCTCTATAATAGCCTCGTTTGTTCCATATTTTTGAATGTTATAGCGAATTGTCGTTATAAAAAACATATATTATAGCAGAAAATGAAATTTGATTCCGTAAAGAACTTGGCTTTTTATAGTAAAATGTCGTTATATAAGGATAGGTCTGACTGTAATTATGGTCAGTCATAAGAATTGCTGAGGAGTTGCCGAGCTCGGACTGTGACCTGCAAACGTGCAAGGGATTGCATACAATGGAGAGCTATACGTAATTGCCTTCTTACACATACTCCACGTACCACTGCTTGAAGCTTCACTAGGCTTTTCAGTGCCTTAAACATCCGTCTTGCCTTCATTAAAATGTATATAAGCATAATCATCAATATATACATTGCAAGTGTCAAAGGTAAAAGTTAAAATGGTTAATTTTTATCTATAGTATCTTCATGAATTGAGTTTATATTTCACTTTGATTTTCTTAGTATTTTACTCTGTTTGTTGTCACTGCTTTTTTTCATTTTTTTTCTTTAAACCGATAGTCTATCGAAAATAACATTTCTACTATCCCAGTGTACGAGGAAAGGTCTGCGTATACATAAACAACACTTGTGGGATTCACAGAATTTGTTATTGTTGTTGTTGTAGTTGTTATTGTAAAGTATAAAATTAATTTTTGTAACATTTGAATAGCTTAATTATGTCTATATATTACATAAAAATTTTAAGATGTTGATGCTAAACTTGGTCCCGAAAACATAAGTAATCTGTCGCTTTAGCAATCATCTTACAAAATAACCGAGTGGTACGGTAGCTGCTTAATAAAAAAAAATTAAATCAAATATTCGGCCCACTAAAAATAAAAAATAAAATCTATGGTGTACCACACGGTGAAAGACACTGTATATTAGGTTGGTTAGAAAAATGGATTTTTCTTTTTTCTTTTTTCTTTTTAAGTGGTGTCACATGGATATTATATGAAGAGTTATGAATTGATGACATTAATAACACAATCTGTATACTTCTAGAAAAAAAAAAAAAACCAATTTGTATACATTTGACAGCCTTCTTGCATTTTTTATGACATTTATTCTCTCCCTCCCAATTTATGTGAATGTGTTTTACTATGCACGAATTTTAAGAAATTAGGAAATTTTTTTGAAACTTATGGTATGAAACAATCCATAGAAATTTGTGTGGCTAGAAATCATTTCGTTAAAGGTAAAACAAAAAATTTAAAGTTAAATCGTTACTAAATATAAAAAGATGTCATTCTTTTTTAGACTAACTAAAAAGGAAAGAATGTCACATAAAATGAGACGGATGGAGTAATATTTTCGACGTTTTTTATTTATGATATATAGTCGAGTTATTTCTCGGTGCCAAAAGTCAATTTTATGATTTTAATGCAATAAACTGAAAATTGAATTATCCAAAATGGAATTAAGAAGACAAACTATAAATAGCAAGGAGGGCCAAGGCTAAGTAAAACTTACAAGGTAACCCCTAAAATAAGACTGGATAGCAATGGCCGCCATCTCCTCTTTAGACAGAAAATGGAGGCCGCTATTATCTGCAGCAGATTGAGCATTTGCACTGCTAACCCTATTAGTAATGGTGTTGTTATGAACAATAATGATAGTAGTTTTTTGAGGAGGAGATGGCTGGTAAAGCTTCTTTCGGACTGTGCCAAGAAATTTTTTCCTTGACATCCTCATGTTTTATGATATTGCTACTTCTGTTTGTGTTTGTTTGTGGCTGAGCTTCTTTAATTAGCAGATTTTTAGTGCCCATTTTGGAAATAATAAAGGGAGTGTGGCTAACATGATTGTTAAGACTTGAGAATTGGACAATGGGTTTGAGTGAACGTGGAGGGATGAATTTTATTTAGTAATTGAAGTGCAAAGTTTTAAGTATTCAAAGAGCCAATCTATGTGACCTCTAGGGAAAAACAAAATACCTTTCTACTCGGACCTATGCTTTGAGAAGAGGGGCCATCGGCAGAGGCGAAGCTAGAATTTGAAAATTTTATGGGTTCAGGAGTTTAATTTGCTTAAGTTGTTAGGTTTTAAATTAATAAATTATATATATTCGATGAATTTTTTAAGACAAATACATGGTTTGGATAAAAGCTACTAGGTTCGACCGAACCTGTAGGTCATGTTGTAGCTCCGCCCCTGATCACTGGATCCCGTCAACTTCGGCAAAAATTCTGAATATCTAAGTGTATATACGTTAAATTGGTCATATATTTTGTTAGGAAACCTTAAGATCAAAAGTCATATGGGGCACTGGTTGAACAGTTTGCTCATGTGCCCCCACCTACACCTTTAAATCCTGGGTCTGCCTCTACTTCTACTATATATGAGAATCTTACTTTTAACCATTTGTTATACAATTAGGTCATTCATATGCTTGATGTTATCAAATTGTCCCGTATTTGCTATTGACCCTAATGGAGGTCCAACGTATAAGAGAGAATAATTTTAAACCAGAGAGAGAGTAGATGGGTAAATTTTAAACAATTTTGTATAAGTATTTTGCCAGCTCCACTAAATTCAAGGCAAATACAAAACAATTTGCTAAAAGCAAATATATGAATGACTTCAAGATATAACTATTCAAATTAAGACATTTCATATAAAAAAAGGAACAATGGGTTGTTGATGTTAGGATATGGCCGGCATGTCGGCATGACATTTCAGAACAATGGAACACCTACTCGTACAACGTTTGAGCCAAAAAGAAACAGAATATATACGACTAACTTTATTGGTCCTACTCAACGCTAAAAATTACATAATGCATTTTCTCTTTCTTTCCTTCCGGACAATAAATTATCATATTCTGCAAATATATCTCGTTAAAAAAATATATTCTGCACCTATTACGTGTAAATTATCCGATCCTATAATTTCAAGTGTTGTAAACCATATTGTTTTATGCTTATATCTGTATTGGTCGAAATCTAACCGCTACGGTCGATCCAACCGACATCCCGTCCAAGCGACGAGGCAACGAAAGACGATATGGTTTATTCCAAATCCCGTACTCACAATACCCGCCAAGTCAAAAAACAACTTCAGGGAACAACAAAGGCGGACGTAGTATAAAAGAGTATCTAATCAAGCACATAGAGAAGATTCAATAACTATATATATGGAGAAAAACCTTCTAAAAAGGCGGGCGACTTCTCTCTCTCTTTCCTCTCCTCTATAACCTACATAGTAGAAGGAAGAACAAAGCAATCTCCAAGAGAATATGTAAAATGGTTTCCTCCATTGATGAATGGAGGACAAAATGAAAAGTATCAATAAGATTGATTATCTCTATCTCATCTCATGCATTATTTTTTAATTAGTTTATAGATTTGGAGTTCACTTCGTTTACCTAAGATTTACCCCTTCATTGTTTCTATTGATTTAATCGAAAAAGTTTCAATACCTTTTTTGTCAAACAATATCCACTTTAATTGGTTAACATATTGGAGCTTATGTCATCGTCTCAGAGTTACTTTTGCGAAAATATCATCTATCTATACTATATTAAAAGCACGAAGGCCTTAACGAAATGTCGTTCGCCTTTTTTACCCTTTAAAAATAGAGTTTGCACTAGAAAAAATAGTCATTTAATTAATTTTCTAATATGTAGGAATAATTATTTAATTAGTTTCCTAATATTTAAGAATAGTCATTTAATTATTTTCCTAATATTTAGGACTTTGATTTTTCAATATTATCATTTAATTATTTTCCAAAAATATAGTACTTTAAAATCAACTAAATTTAGTATTTATTAATTTTTTTCTTTATTTGAACTAGAATTATTTTCTTTAAATAAAATTTGAACCCCTTCCTTCTATGTATGAACGTAGAACATCATTGTCGTTTTAAATTTATTTTAAGAAGTTAATTATTATTTAAATTAAGGGTTTACCAAATAACAATGATTTTTTTGCTAAGACTCTTTATGATGTATATAGTTGAAGAGAAGTTAACGTAAATATAAATATAATAAAGTAACTTAAAAATGTAAATGTTAGTTATATATATTTTGAGGTGCATTATGACATTTGTAATTCACTCTAAAGTTATTAGACCATCAAGCAAGGGTTAATAAACATTTATAAATTATAGAAAAATATTACTGAATATTTAGCTTATGAACACGATTTACAGTAGTTAAAAGCAGTTTAGTTATAATTTGTAGTTTTTATTTTTCAAAGCAATTTCCTTTTTCTTTTGTTTAAGTTAGTTGTGAATGTTATAAGTTGAAGCAAGATGTACAGTGGCGGAGCCACATATATCAAAGGGGTGTCAACCGACACTCCTTTGCCGGCAAATTATACTGTATAGTTCGGTAATTTTTTTAAAATTTGTATATATATANGAGTTTTTTTTAATATTTTGACTCCCCTTAATGAAAATCCTGGCTCCGCTACTGATGATGTATGGTGCAAAAAGTTTCTGTCTCTCTTATAATTTAAATTTTGCTAATCACTATAATTGTATTGCGTACGAAAATAATGTATTATCTTTTAAAAGTTATATCCCATTAAATGAATTTTGAAAGACTGTAAATAAACTACCTATAAAAAAATCTGTAAATAAACTCTTATATGATATTAATATGTAAAATTGTAAAAAAAACACCTGCGTTTGATATTATAAAAAAAAGGTACACTGAAATACTAGACAAATTGAAGAATGATGGGCTACGTTCAACTCATGCAAACTAATTATTATATATTGTGGCGTTAAAGCAATTTTAATCTTCTCAATCCTTATTTTTAGTCCAAGTTATTCTTTTAAATTTATATATTTGATTTTAACATGTAAATTTATAAATAAATTTTGTTTGAAATTATCAAGAAGAATATGTAAAATAAACTATATTTCGATATGGGACAAACTTGAAGAAAAATGGTGTGTACTATTTATCTCATGTGAACTAATTATAATATACTGTATAAATAAATTACATTTAGATACTGACCAAACTTGAAGAATGATGGTATGTATTGTTCAACTCATCTGAACTAATAACTGTGTATTGTGCATTGATGCATAGGGTAATAAATTTTTCTAATCTTTTTTAATCTTTATTATGATTTCAAGTTTATATTCATAATTCTTTTTAAATCTATATTCTATATACTTTTACTGATGTTACATCCCTAAAATTGATCCGATCGTGATGGCATCTATCGTGAAACTAGGCCAGCCGACATAATTCCCAAGTCAAACTATTACTCTATAAAAATCATTTTAAAACTATTAATTAACAAGAAATATCATAATATAAGTCTAAATAACCAATGCGGAATAAATACACAAGTCCGACATCGAGGTGTCATAAGTCACGAGCAACTACAACCATGTCTCAATACAATAAAGTCTAAACAAGACTGGAAGACCATACTAAATAAATCTAGGGAAGATATGAGGGAGAAGAACAGGGTTGCGAACGCCATGCAGCTACCTTGCTCCAAAATCCTGCTGAATGGACGATCAATGGTCACTATCGCGACCCGCAACTCCTGGATCTGCACAGAAGGTGCAGGGAGTAATGTGAGTACGCCAACTTAGTAAGTAATAAGAGTAAATGAAAGTTGAGCAGTAAGAAAACAGATAATTCCGTGTCATAACACCACAACTAATACAATACATTTTCCAAAACAGTACAGAAATCATTTACCTCGTAAAACAAACTCAGTTTCAGTAAAGTCGTTTCTTTTAAAACATCTTTCAATAGTTTTCAAATGAGTGATGAAAACAGTGAGTAAAAATGATAGAAACGTAAACAGTCCCTCGGGCAAAACATGTACCATAAACCGCCCCCGGAAAAAATATCAACAGAACCAGCCCCTCGGGGTACCTCACAATCACTCGTAATCAGCCCTTCGGGCAACAATATGAATCAACAACAGCCCCTCAGGCTACATCACATCACTCACACTAGGTACCTGCGTTCACTGGGGGTGTTCAGACTCCGGAGGGGCTCCTACAGCCCAAGCGCTATAACAAGCCATCTCGTGGCATAATAAATCAGGCCCTCGGCCTCTCATATATCACAATCAGTATAACATACTGCGACGCGTAGCCCCGATCCCATAATATCCTCACAACATAGGCCCTCGGCCTCACTCAGTCAGAAATCTCTCAAGCCACTCGGGCTAACAGTAAAACAGGGTGCTCAGCCCAAAATATCGTTTATAGAATTCAAACAGAGTAAACAACACCGAGCTATGAAATCAGTAAAACATAACATGACTAAGTGTAGATATTAAATCAAAATAGTGAGGAAAACAGTAGTAAAAAGCCCCTAAGGGTCCAAACAGTTGGCACGAGGCCCAAATATGACATTCAGCCCAAAATATAGTAATACTTTCCAAAACATAATAGTAGCAAATAGTTTTCAATCAAATACACGACTTAATAGTCGTACGGGATGGACCAAGTCACAATCCCCAACGGTGCACGAATCCACGCTCGTCATTTAGCATGTACGCCACCTCAAAGTAGTGAAACGATGTGAAATTCGGGATTTTATACCCTCAGGACAACATTTACAATTATTACTTACCTCAAACCGGTCCAAACTCTAGCCCTCGATGCCCTTGCCTCTCGAATCGGCCTCCAAGTGCTCCAAATCTAACTAAAATCAGTATATTATCATCAATATACGCTAAAGGAGCGAAGCCCAAGCGAAAATAATCAAATTAACCCAAAAAATCCGAAATTTGCTCCAACCCGGCCCCGGGCCCACGTCTCGAAATCCGATAAAAATCACAAAACTGAAAAATCCATTAGCTTATGAGTCTACCCATATCAAATTCACCAAAATCCGACATCA